TACACAAAATATAAAACTAAAGAATACTAAAATTTTTCACTATATTTAAATTGTAAGAAATCATAAAGTTAAATTCCTTAAGTCTTCTCATGTATCTAATATGTATATATAAAAAATTATACCTTTGAAGGGCCAAGGGAGTGTGCTTAGAAAAAGACGTGGTCGCTAGTTTAATTACTGTAGCCCTGCTGGCCTATGAAATGATTATGGTACCTTAAGGTGGGAAGCCACTGGATGGGTGGGTGAGGAAGCAACGAGAAAAGGGAGCACTCAGATTCTGAAATTTTCACTTGTAAAATATAGTTTGGGAATGAAAGTAATAAATTTAAAATGTAATGAGTCACACATTTGCAAATTTATATATGAATATGATGAAAACTGCAAACAAAATGGATGGATTTACAGAGAGTATATGACCTTGATTACTAGCAAATGCAATGGGCCTTTTGGTTAAGATAAAATTCTTCAATTGCTTAACCTATGGCATTTTTTCACCTTATAGAATCCTGGTGAGATATTCATTCTGTTGAAAGATGAAATAATTGGTGAAACTCTGGAAGTTGAATTTATATCAAATAATAAATGCATTAGAGCATGGCCATCCCTTTGGAATAAGACAGTCTGGCACATGAAAGCTTTAGGTAAGAATTTTTATGCTTCGGTACATATAAAACGTCACCCGAGTTCCTTTCATTGAATTTATGGTAAGTTGTTTCGCGTCTTTACAGAAACGGATTTTGTTCTGCAGGTGTTTCCTGTGTTAATTTTCACACATCCAAGTTTGTTATTATTAATCTGGATTTTCAAAAGTAAGATCGTGTAAATCATCAGGTCCTAGTTTGTATGCCACGTAGGGAAATGGCAGCCAGTAACAGCACATACTGTTTTAATGTGTCAGTAGAGAGCACTTTGATATAAAACAGCAATTAAATATGGAATTTTATTTCCTTTATTGCAGCATTAGGATTAGCAGACATTTTGATTTTTGTTACAGAACGTACTGTTTTTCCTTCTCCTTTCTTTTCCCCAAGTCTTTGAATAAGTTTTTGGTTGTCCAGTAAAGGTAGAGTTCTTTTTTCAGTATTTTCTATGGTATTTTCTAATCTGCATATAGGCTTCCATCATTTTCTTATCTTATTTGTGAAGCTAACAATTTGATTACCCAGTTTTGTCTATACCTCAGTAAAATATACTAGATGATAAATTCAAGACGATCCTGTCACGTTTGTTGATAACAAGTGTAAAAAATCAGAAATATATAATACTTTTTTAAAGCTTTTACATAATTGTAAGACTGCTTAGGGTTGGAGGGATGGCCGAGTAGTTAAGGGCAAATCTACTCTTGAAGAAGCCCAGTTTGGATTCCTGCCACCCAGGTTAGGGAGCTCACAAACAGCTGTAATTCCAGCTCCAGGGGGATTCCACACTCTCTTCTGTCCTCCACAGGCACCTGGACTCATGTGCACAAACTCACAGACAGAGACACATACATACACAAAATTAAAAATAGTAGAAATAAGCAGGCCCAGGCATGATAGTACACAACTTTAATCCCAGCATTCAAGAGGCAAAAGCAAAAAGAGCTTAGTGAGACCAAGAGGCCAAACTGGTCTACATAGCCAATTCCAGGCCAGCTGGGGCTGCAGGGAGAACCTATCTCAAAAGTCCAAAATAATAATAGCAAAAATAATAAATCTTAAAGTAAGACTACTTGTTTTTATGATGTTTTATATAATCAGAAAATAAAATTACTATGTACAACCTCATAATACATATTTTATAAATGCTTTGATATGAAAAGATATTTAAAATTTTAAATATGGAAATACAAAATATTTATGACTAAAAATTATATTAAATACATCATGAAATACCTTTCTACTTTTAGAATTTAATGATCATATAGTCTGTTTATATCTACAGACCCACTTTGTTTATTCAAAGTGAACATCTCTTCTATGGATTTCTTTGCATAACTTACTGGATTCTAAGAAGAAAAATCCTCTTTGAAGAACTTTTTTAGACACTGTTTCTTGTTAGGGTCAAGCATAGGCAGAAATGAAATGGCAGAAAACTTTCTCTGTCTCTTTCTTCTTTATACTTTCATGTTCAAAGTCCCTATTACCATATATCACATTCTTTAAATGATTTAATGAATAATAATTTCAATGTAATTAGTTCCAGAGTTCAAACTAAATCCAGTTAAAATAAATCACTACAGAAAAATCAATATTGCAAATTAAGAAGCACTTAAATAATATTTCCCACATAGCAGATCAAGATGTCAAATAAAATTATTCACATTCCTTAAGGGTTTTTGGCTGGGTATATGTAATTCCAAGGAGTGAGCAAAGAATGACATTTGTCAAAGTTTCTGAAACAATTGGAAGGAAATATTTAGAAAACACTTCAAGATACTGAGATGGCCTAAGATTTTTTGATTAGATACTTAAACATACAAGAAAGAGAAGCAAAAATAGATAGATAAGATTGTATTAAACTAAAAATCACAGCAAAGAAAGCAATTGACGGAGTGAAAAGATGGCCCACAGAAAGGGAGTGAGTGTTTACAAACTATCTGATAAGAGATTAATATCCAGAACATATAAGAAACTCAACTCAAGAGCAACAACAAAATAGTTCCATTAAGAATAGGAAAATCATATGAGCATACATTTCTTAAAAGAATATGTAATCAATAAATATGTGCTAAAATCTTCAACATCCTTATTCATCAGGAAAGGGAGTCAAAACCACAGTGGCCTCTCACCACGACAAGAATGCCTGTTATCAAAACCACACACACACACACACACACACACAGACATACACACACGCACACACACACAATCCTAGTAAGAATATGGAAAAAGGGGAATTTCTACACCACTGGTGGGGATGTAATAATATAAAATTATGGACAGCAAGGAATTGTTCAAAAACTGAATCACCAGCAAGTCCACTACTGGGTACATTTCCAAAAGAGGTAAAATAACTATCAGAGAAATCCATGCTCTCATATTTATGACGGCACTATTCATGATAGCCGAGACAGAAAATCAACCTAGGTGCTCATTAATGGAAAATGGGTAAAGAAAATGTGTAATTGATTTATGTGTCTATATGGGTATTATTCAGCCATAAACAAAGATGTCATTCATAGCAACACAAATGGAACTGAGAACATTTTAAGTGAAATAAAACAAATAGAGAAAGAGATATCACGTGGTGTCAGTCGTTTTTGGAATCTGAAGAAGTTTATACATAGGAGTGAAGAGTAGACTAGAGATTGCTAGAGACTAGGAAGGGTGGGAAAGAGGATGGATAGAGAGTGAGTGGATAATGGTTACCAAGATGCATTTGAAGGAACAGAAATGGTTCCAATGTTCTGTAGAACAGCAGGATTGCAGGAGTCTGCATCAAGAAGTTTCATCTTTCTGGCATAGCTACAGTAAACCTCTACACCTAAGGTTCATGGAAAATAGCAGAACAGGAGATAGAGAGAAAACTAGTGGATCCCTCAGTTCTCATCAGCAAAACTTCCTTGTACAACAGAGGGTATGTACACAGAAGGCCACAACTGGCCTAGTTTTAGAGAGTAAGAGACTGCAGAGTGTGTATCCCTAGAAAGGCGACCAATATTAAACCTCACCAATGACTCAAGCACCATTGTGGAAGAAAGGGCAGAAAGACTGTAAGAGCCAGGGTTGATCCATGAACATAGAGAAACAGAGGCTTTCAGGCCACTGGAAACTTGCACATGTGACCTTGCAGCAATGGTGGCATCTACCACAGGACTCATGCCAACTCAAACAGACAAGGGCCCAGAATGGAGCAAGGCAAATAGGTGGTAGGCCGGCCCTAGCCTGGCAACTGTTGGAGACTGATTATTACTGGGTGAGGGAGAGAAGGCCTTACTTTTGACCTCTAGATAGGCTGACAGGACTCCAGTGGATGAACTTGCACAGAAGGATATCTGGGTACAAATGTTTGACTGGATAGGACTTAACATGTATGGCAGAAAGCACTGAGGTCCAGCAGGTGGGGAGGCATGGATGCAGGGAGGGAGGTCTAAATTTGATCAAGAACTGTTTTATGCAATGTACAAAAGCTCAATAAAATTTTTTAAAAAGAAATACCACCTTTCAAAACAAGCGGATACTATGTATTTAATAGAAATGTTAATTACCCTGACTTGATCATTCCACATTATGTACATTTTTTAAGAAAAATACTTTAGCAGACAAATCATTATAAATTGTACTTAAAGTTTTAAAATAAAAAAGGAAAATGTCAAAATTTTACTTTGAAACGAGCTTGCTATGATGACTGCATTTTACAGCTTTTCAGTAAAAACAGAGATTAAATAATTTAAACACTCACATAGAAGTTTAGTAAATAGTTCTATTGCCATCTAGACTGAAGTAGACAAGTAACCTCCAACACTAGAGATACAGCAGACACAGGTCACAAGCATGGCTTTGTTAGTCAGCTGTAAAGAAAAATGTATGGAGTTCTGCGTGCATTGACTGGAACATACAGGGAAGATGTGATCCAAGCATCGTATCTAAATCTCAAATGTAGGTCATGCAAGAGTCCTTGTATGATTTTTTAAAAGGTAATTAGGAGATTCTTATGTCCAAAGACAGTGATGAAATTCATGTACTTTTTTTCAAGTTCAGAGTATTTGCAAATTAAATTATGGTGCAGTACAGTCTTTGTCAACTCTTCCTTTCTCGACTGTCCTTCAGATGAAGTACAAATAATTTGTGGGAAAAACAATCCAAAGACAATTCTGTAGAGTAAAACTATTTCACTAATTCCATAAAAGAAGAAAAGGAGGAAGCTCTACCCCATATTTCCCAAGACAATACTAGAATATAACATTGCCTACATGGTTAGGAAAATATCTACAGCAAGCTAATAAGCCAATGTCTATCAATTCTTCTAATAAATTTCTACAAGCCCTCTTTAAGTTGATATGTTGTGCAAATTGAGGACAGACTTTCTTTGAGATTCTGACTGCTGTTTAGCCCTATACAAGATGGTTACATGAACTGTGTAAGCATGTGGGCGGGATGTGCCTCTGGAGAAATGGCTCCAGGGTCTATTTTCAGAGCTCTTAATTCCTAACCAGAACAAAGCTTTTATTTTTTATTTTATGTTATTTATTTCTGGGTGGTGGTGGTCTGTGTACATGTGTGTAGAGCACACACATGAATGTGTGTGTGCAAGCAAGGCCAGAGCAGGAATCTAGGCATCTTTCTTTATCTCTCTCCACTTTATTGCCTTGAGACAAGTTCTCTCTTTGCTCTCCAATGTTGGGGTTACTGGTCCAGCTTTCTTTTTTTTTTTATATGGGTAACACTTTGAATTCAAGCCTCCAAATGCTCTTACCCTCTTAGCCATCTCCCAAGAGAGCAGAGGTTTTACAAGCAATGCTTGCCACATCCAGTCTTATATGAAGCTAAAGAGACTAAAAGTCACTTTCCTTGAACTCATGAGAAAAATAAGGTGGTGGAGTGCAGGGATGGAAAGGTGCCCTGTCTCTCATCATCATTCATAAGGGACATGACTGACATCTCTTTAACAAAGGGTAGGTTAATGAGAAAAGCTTAATGAATTTACTTAATCAAAGCTTTAACTGATGCAGCTGCAGCCCACTTTAAAGATAGCCCAACACCTACCCAACTTATATAAATTTACTCACTATGAGACTACTTATTTCCAAACATGTTATCTAACATGTCTGGTTTTCAACCAAGACTTACAAAATATATAAAGGTAAGGTAAAACACAACGTAAGGAGACAAAGCACATATTCGTTCAGACAGCGATGGCACAGGTGTTCAAATTATCAGGAAGGGCACTTCGAGTAAGGATGAGTAAAATGTCAAGGGTGCTAATATAAAAGGCCGACAATGGTACAAAAACATTCAAAAGGAGAATGCTAAGAAATAATCACGAGGGAAGGCCAAAGTCAGAGTCAGATTGGTCTGTGTCCTTGTGATTGGCTCATTAGGATGCAGTTGAGAAAAGAATCAGGGGACAAAGTGGGACTAGAGACAGTTTTGTAAATTTAAATACATACGACTCACCCATTTTCTTTTGTTTGTTTTTTTAAAAGGACAAAACATCTATCCCCAAAAGTATAACACACGTGTCATTGAAATACAAGAGTGAAGAGATGAAAACACAAGAAGCTTACAAGGATTAGTCACAAGACACCATAACACAAGTTTTGGAAGCTCAAAAAACACAAAGCAATATGAATATATAAAGATGACCCTGATACCTAGATGTATCATATTCAGTAGAACTGAGGACAGAGAAAAATTCTGTAAGACAGAGAAACCAAATGTTTTACCTACTAGGGAAGGGAAATAGAATGGTCTGAGCTGCCGTCTATTAAAGAAACTCAATCATTGTTTTTTGACTCTTTGTAAAAGGCAACACTACATCCAGATGTTTTCAGCTGGTAACAAGGTAAAGAAAATTAAATATTCTCTTTAATGATGCTCAGCTGGAGGAAATCCTGGGTAACTTTCTTCCCCTCTGACCAACTTCCACATTGTAGACTGAGTTTTTTTTTTGTTTTGTTTTGTTTTACCTCAGTGAATGTCATCTATTTGGGATTTCTTCTGTTTGCCTTCTAGACTGAAGTAAACAGTAACCTCCTACACTGGAAATACAATAGACGTAGGCCTTTCTTACCTTTGTGTTCAGCTCAATCATTTGAGGCATCTGTAATCATTTGATTTTTCAGCAACCATATTTTGCTAATGGCATTGTTTTAGTTTGCTTCTCCACTGCTGTGATAAAACACTTCTCAAAACTATCTTGGGGTGGGAAAAGGTTGATTTCAGCTTACAATCCGTCAATGAAGGAGCCGGGGCAGGAGCTCAAGCAGGAACCTGTAGACAGAAACTGGAGCACAGACCATGGAGGAATGCTGTTTACTAGCTTGCTCTTTGGGACTGAGCTCAGCCTGCTTTCTTATACAACCCAGAACTGCATCCCAGGAGTGGGGCCACCCACAGTCGACTGGGCCCTCCCACATCACTCAAGGATCAAGAAAAGCCTTAATACATGCCCACAGGCCAATCTGATAGGGGAAATTCCCCAGTTAAGGTTCTCTCTCCCAGGATATGTCAAGTTGACAGCTGAAATGATTCATCAATCCATTGCAGGCATCCATAGATAAAGAAGTTACAACAGTTCCAGCTTATATCTAAATTCACAAAAACATGTTAAGACTTTCAACCAGCAATATAAACGAATTTCTATGCAGAAGAGAGTAGTCCTCAGATACCTGTGGCACTGCCATGAAGCAACCAACACAGCAGGGAGACAACTAATTAAAAGTTGAAAGGGATGTATAATGTATGAACAAAAATATTGAATCTCTTTATTAATTAAGAAACTGTGCTCTAGATAATGGAAATTACGAATTCATAGTTCATTAAAAGAGCATGAAAAATACTTCAGGATCTGCTACTTTTATGCTGAACTTGCTTTGGAAAGAAGCATGCAGACTTCTGTTATCAAGTTATGATTTCTAGATATTGTAATACAGGAAAACAATTTTAAAATATTTTAAGGTGATTCATATTTAGGCATTAGCAATGTTTTTAAGGTACAGAGCATTGTCATTAAAGCAGAGCCATGTCGATTTGTCTTACCATGGCAGCACTAGGTGGGTTCATTCAATGCTCACCATCTGGGAAAAAAACTAAACCGGGTTCATGAAGGAACACAGCATCTCAGAAAATAGAAACACAAGATAAGGGGGTTCACACATTAGTGAAGTTTTGAAATATCTTCTTTTATGGAATTAGTGAAATAGTTTTACTCTACAGAATTGTCTTTGGATTGTTTTTCCCACAAATTATTTGTACTTCATCTGAAAGACAGTCGAGAAAGGAAGAGTTGACAAAGACTGTACTGTACCATAATTTAATTTGCAAATACTCTGAACTTGAAAAAAAGTACATGAATTTCATTATTTGGACATAAGAATCTCATAATTACCTTTTTAAAAATCATACAAGGACTCTTGCATGACCTACACGTTGAGATTTAGATATGATCCTTCAATCACATCTTCCTTGTATGTTCCAGTCAATGCAGGCAGAGCTCCATACATTTTTCTTTACAGCTGACTCTCAAAGCCATGCTTGTGATCCGTATCTGCTGTTTCTAGTGTTGGAGGTTACTTGTCTACTTCAGTCTAGATGGCAATAGAACTATTTACTAAACTTCTATGTGTGTTTAAATTATTTAATCTCTGTTTTTACTGAAAAGCTGTAAAATGCAGTCATCATAGCAAGCTCATTTCAAAGTAAAATTTTCCTCAAGCAGTTTGAGGTGTTATAAAAAGACCAATTCATGAATTCATGAAAAGCCCAATTCAATAAAATACTACTAAGAAGGACCTCACAAATGGCCCATAAGGCATACTCTCTGATATATAGGTGGGATAGTAATCAGGTCTTGATTTAGTAACTGCCACTGGGCAGATATGAAAACATATACAGCACAATCTACACTTCAAAGGCTGGCTCTTTGGAAGGTTACTCTAAAAGCAACATCAGTGTCAGTCGATGCAATGGGGAAGTTTTAAGTCAACTATGACTTAAAATATTGGAAATAAATCTGTTTATTTTCACATTAGAGTCTAAAGAACATAGAATGTTGTATTTATGTCAAAGAACTGCCAAGGAAACCTCATCATTGCTCATGACTCATCGCCAATGATTTTTCAGAGTTTCCCAATAAAAATATCAATATTTTCTTTCAAAGTAATTTCCATGACCCCATAATAGAGTAAAATCTGACATTAAAAATCCCTTATGTAAAACCTCCTGAAATTGACTTTATTTGGGTCTGCCCCTACCAGCCTCCTTTCAACTCCAAGGTCATGTGTGTGTTTTATAACTTTGTTGGGGCATCTCTTGTGCTTTACTGGGTGAACACTTCTTTGGAAGACAATACTAATACTTTTCTGCATATATCCTCTTTAGAATGCAAGTTTGATATCTAGTCAAAAGCTCTTAAAATTTGTCCTTCAAATTTGGCCCTTATAAGTGGTATATTAATGTCTTTATGCACTAAACTTTAAGAGATTTTAAACCTTCAAGATTGTTCAAGGCTGTTGATATTTTAATCAATGACTTATTTCAAATTCTACATTTCTAGTGACAATTTTTGGGAAGAACTTGAGAAATATCTCAATGAACGCTGTTAAAATTTGCCCTTCAAATTCGACCCTTACATATCACCCTGTACAAAACTCAACTACAAATGGATCGAAGACCTAAATGTGAATCCTGAAGCACTGTTAGAAGAAAACATAGTCAGTACCTTGCAAGATATAGGTACAGGAGAGGGCTTTCTAAGTCAGACATCAGTTGCTCAGGAAATAAGATCAGCAGTTGACACGTGGGATCTCATTAACGTAAAATTTTCTGCACAGCAAAGGTAGCAACCAATAGTGTGAAGAGGAAACACATAAAAAAAGACTTTACCAGCTGTATATATGAATGGATTAATACCTAGAATATACAAAGAACTCAAAAAAACAAAAAAACAAGTGACTCAATTAAAAGATGGGAAAAGATCTGAACAGAGAGTTCTCAAAAGAAAAGATAAAATGGTTAAGAAACACCATAAAAAGTGCTCAAATCCTTAGCAGTTAGGGAAATGCAAATCAAAACCATTTTAAGATCAAGAGAACAAATACCGAATGTGGTGAAAGGTGAATGAGCATTCACTGCTGGTAGGATTGCAAACTGGTGCAATCACTATGGAAAGCAGTGTGGAGAACTCTATGGTAGATATATTTCTAGTTTTCTAAAACTAAAAATATATCTACCGTATAACCTGGTAATACCATTCCTTGGAATATACCCAAAGGACTCATCCTATTTCAGAGATAATTGTGGATCCATGTTTCTTGTTCTTTTCACAATAACTAAGAAATGGAAACAACCTAAATGTCCCTCAACTAACAAATAGATAATGAAAATGTGGTACATTTACACGATGGAGTTCTACTCAGCAGTAAAGAAAGATGAAATCATGAAATTTGCAGGTAAATGGATAGTGTGAAGTAACACAGACTCATAAAAACACCCAACATGTGTTCTCTCTCATTTGGGGATGTTAGCTCCAAATCCTTATATGTGAGTACATTATTAGAGTAAAATAATTTAGTTCTTTGCTGTTTTAAGTATAATTTTGACATACATTTTTATCCTCTAAGCATTTTAATCTAAAATTATATGTTCGATTTTGTGATTTTTAAGTACTAAATAGAAAAATACTTTAAGTGCTAGAAACTAACAAAGTGCTATGACGTCTTAGAGACTGTCATCACAGTCTCTTGAAGGTAGGATAAAACAATGTGTTTGTAATACTCAGCTCTTAACTCCTGTTTGTGTTTTGTAAGATTTTCCTGCTGGCTCAGTCGCTGTCAACATCCGCTGTGATGGGCTCATTAAGGCCACAACAGAGATTAAGTACTCTTCAGCAGCAAAACCAATGGAAAGTGCATTTAGAGAGTCAGATCCAGGAGACCGTTTGTGCCAGGTAAGTCTACCTGACTAGCAAGCTAATCCCAACATAAGCTAAAGCGTTAATGCAGGAGAAAAGCATTCTTTGTTTGGTATAAGGTTTGGATTCTGATGGAATGTGAAGGTGCTGCTGATGCTCAGGAGGGGAAGAAGCTGGCTTCTGTGGTCAGGAGATGCAGACGAATAACTGTGCCTTGATCCGGTCATTACAGATAATGTCAGCAGGAGACAGTCCCTTACAAATGGCTATTAGGACAGGCTCTTTTAAGGCTGTTACAGAGCAGATAATGAAAGAGAGCAAACCAAAGGAGCCCCTGAGAAATGGACTTCTTTAGTTAGATCTGAATGACACAAAACAAAAGAAAATCTGGCTACTGCTAAGATGTCAGGCAAACAAACTACTACCAAACAGGGAGCACCTGGTGTTGATCTTGCATTTGTCTTCTCATGGGCATTTCCAAGCTTTTCTTAGTTTCATTTATCACTGTTAACTGAAAATAAAATATATTGAGTTATCAACCTTTATTAAGAATTCTAGATAGACCAAAACCTTCTGTGTAGCATGCAAGGAAGTGAAGAAACCCTTTATTATTTCTCTCATGTGGGAAATTCTTACTTAGCAGTGGGGATTGTGATACGTTTCTAGCCTCCTTTAAGAGCCCATGTTTGGGACTTGTTCCTACTTGTGTCAGGTATATGGATGAATCTTAAAGAGACTTCAGGATGCTCAAGTCATTAGATTAGTTTCTACATTTTATTTTTATTAATTGACCCACTTTTAATAGAAATGAATCTTGCTTAATATGGAAATTTATCATATGTGTGTTTATTGCATCAAGTTTCAGAATGAAATATCATTTTAATTTAACTAGACCTTTATAATTATAGGATCTGATGCTATATGGAAGGTACAAAACATTTTTGGCCACTTGACACTTAGAAGTATGACTTTGCTTTGTTGTCCTGTTGGGGAGACAAGGACACAGAGAGTAGGAGGGAAGAGGGGGATGGCTCAGCCTCACAGTGTGAGCTTCACGTTCACCATGGAAAGGCCCTGTAGCTTTGAAATAAAACTGTTAATGAAGCCAATATTGACAGGCTGTCATGAGCCTTATGCGACTTCCATTGGAGGCTTTATGCATTTTGTGTGACATTTCTTTAAGGTTCTTCTTTAAGTGTGACTTACTTTAGAACAATAGGCAATGCAAAATGTCTTAGCAAAGGACAGGAAGTGAAATACCATTTGTCAAACTGGAAAATCTGAAGACATTTGACAAAATGTCTATACTATGTTTGCAAGTAGGTACAAAAATAATAGCCTGAAATACAGATTGTTTCATTTTCTTGTCTACCTTGCCCTGAACTAAAAGATTCTATTCATAACCGAAAACTTAATAAGAGTGATACATTCTCTGTATTCAGCCAGTATAGAAGAAAAAGTCTGGCTTCATATCGGGGTTTAATGCTACAGAGAAGTCTGTACATAGTGAAAAGTAAATGTAATGTACAACTCCTGGACAAGTTTCTGAATAAACTAATATGTAAGTCATGATTTCTTCTACAGCTTGAAATAAATGAAAACTTTCCTTTCACGCAGATTGTAGGTAACTAGAAAATGCCGTCTTCTTTTCACCGTGTCTGTAATGAGAGCTGAGCAAAGGTTGCAACTGCTCTTTAGGATTTCTTCCTTGCACTAGGCTGAGGGGTTGGTGAGAGGAAAAAGTTAGACTGGAGTCAGGATTCAGCTTTTTTTCCATCAGGAAAGAGCCTTTGTCAGCTTGAGGGCTGAGTCTCCAGGGACAGAGCTATTCCAGCTTGGCTGCAGAGAGAGATGCTTTGAGAATAGGTTTAATGTGCCTAAGTGAATCATAGGTCTGGGGGTTTTGCTGCTGTCATCAAGGTGATGAAAGTGTTGGGAGATTAAGGAGCAAATAGAAACTAGGCTCTGGTACCAGCCGGAGTTCTGTCAGAGAAGATCAGGCTGCACTTCATCTCCTTTCCCTAGAGTCTTAGCCCTAGTGTGAACTGGGGTCCTCTAAATCTGCGCACATTGTCTGTGAACTCATTGCTCATTGGGATAGTGCAAGGCAGACTCTATGTTTGATGCAGAACTGCTGCAGAGACATTTCTTTGGTGAGTTTCAGGGTCAGTTGTGCAAATTGTGCGTTTCTGTCAGTATAGAACATTGTAGTGACTATTCTTGAATTCCTCTGACACTACCCTGGGAAAACTGGGTATTTTGAAAATGGTCCACTGACTAGCTATATTCGAAACCCAACATACATTATATTCCTACTCAATAGTTACTGTGTGTTTCTGAGAATCTATGCAGAAAATGTGAATTTTCAGTAGACTACCTACTTGGCTGAAATGGCATATTGTAAGAAGTACTTTGAACTTTCCAACACAGTTCAATGGCGGATTGATTTCAATAATCCTGAAATTAGTAACAAGATCCTTCTATAGCCATTTAAAAACTATTGGACATATAATAATCTCAATCTGGTATGAATTTAAGGAAAGGATTATTAATGAGAAATCTGTGGGTCTTATTTTTCAGTATTCCTAAAATTCATAATTAGAGATATTATATCTCATTTTAAAGCTATTGGACATATAGGAAAATGGTCTTTCTGTGAATTTTAATAAAGAATTGATGAAAAACTGCTTTTGTTTTATTTTAATGATGTCCATTAAGTTGTAGAATATTTTACCTCTATGAACTAATTATTTCTTAAATCATTTCATCTTCTAATTATTTCTTAAATCATTTCATCATCTTTTGGGTTTGGGAGAAGATATAACTGCTAAAATCCCATCACAGAGCCTCATAAAGGGAGCACCAATTAAAATAGAAAATATGAGATATTTAAAGGAAAAAAATTTAAGTTTCAATTGGGATGATAATTAAGATTCAAGTACTAGTGTTAGAAATACTAATAATTTCTCTTTAACTGAGATAATTAATTCCTGTGAGACTTTCATCCTATTTACACAAGTGTCTTGGGGACAGCAAAAAAGTTAACTTTGTAAAGGAATTACTAGATAAAGTATAAATGCAAAACTAGGTCAAAATACTGAAAGAATATTACAATTATTAATCAAAATATTCCTATCCTATTCATTACAAGATTTTTAAAACTTTTAAATATTACTTTTATTTATTTTTATGTCTCTGTGTCTGCCACATATATGTGGGTACACATGGAAGCCAGAAGGTGTTGGATCCTCTAGGGCTGAAGGTACAGGCAATTATGAGCCAACTGACATTGGTACTGGGAGCAGAACTCAGTCTTTTGGAAGAGCAGCAAGCTAAATATTTTACTTCATATATAATGTTATTTTCGTCCTCATTTTAGGTATACTTCACTTCTTTTTTTATAACGTTGTATATCTTATTCAACCTGTGACTCACTGCTTACAAATATTTGGTATGAGAAGTTGCCGTGAACCGGAGTAAAAACATTACCCAAAGATCACTTGCTAATCAAAGGCCAGCTGATGGCAAGATGGGAGATGGTGAAAACTTGAGTTCTGGCCTCTCTGGAGGAAGTAGGTCATTAGCTGTGTGCTCTACAAGGATTGACCATGTCCTCGGCCTCTGTGCTCTCTCCCTTGGTTTCCCAGCTGCCAAGAGGAACACCTTACCTCTGCCATGAGCATCTTCCATGGTGTTAGAGTGAGGAAAGATACAGACGTCAGAAGCTAGTATTGTGAGAAATTGCCCAATGTGCTTCCATATGTTAATCATTTCTTTAAAGGGTAATTTCATTATTCAGTTAGGCTTGCATTAGGAGTTGTTTCCTTTAAATAATTCTTCAGGAGGTTCTCTTCACTGAGAGAGCCTGGGAACCGTACCCTTTTCAGGAATTTTCCATTAGGTTCTTGTCTCTCTCAAAAGACTGATACAAATCTTCCTATTTTCATCAGCCCTGTTTGATAGAAGATAGAAATGCAGTGCGTCTCCAAGTTTATCAAGAGCACTCGCTGCAGCAAACTCCTAGGTTCAAGGTTCAAACTCATCAACTGTTTTCTAGACTCAGCCCTCAGGGAAGCATTCCTCTACACCTTCTTAGTGGACAATTCTTAACTATTCCTGGGTTCTTCTAGGCGGCTGTGTTCTTTCATGTCAGAACACATTTCACTGATTCCCTCCCTCCCAATACACTTCTTTAAGGAGCCGGCATTATGGTTTTCATCTTGTAGAATCACCGTCTTTCTCACAGTTATTTCCTTGCATGTGGAATGCAACTAGTATTTGTTGTTTTAGAGAATGGGGGAAAATTCAAGTGACTACTTCCTCTCTAATACTATTTGAATAAATTAGTGAAAAATATAGAACAAGTATGCAAATAAGATAGCAAGAGAAATGTACTCTTAAAGTACATCGTGGCTCATATATAGAACTAAGGAATTCGATGCTTAGAAAATGATGAACTCTCAGAAGTGTATTATCCCAGAGAGATGAAGAGTTTGCTCTAAACTTACCGCAGTACTGGTCTATGAGCTAATGTATTTTGTCGTTGATTTCACACACAGAATTGTCTTACCTTTCTTCTGAATTTTTTGTTGGCATAATCAAATTTTATTTCTGATTCCATAATCAGAAAGGGAAACAGAACTTTAGTTTATTTATGGATTTATTGATTTTTTTGAAGAATTTCATATAATAGATCTTGATGATATTTAGACCCACTCTCCTATCTGTAATCCCCATACCCCCCTCCCCTGGAATTCATGGCATTCTGTTTTATATGTTAAGGCTTATCGAGCCACATTTGTGTCCCCAAATGCCCTTTGATGTGAATCCATCCACTGGAGCCTGGCCAATCTATCTTGCATCACTCCCTTGAAGAAAACCAACTCTCCTCCCAGTAGCCATCAGTTGCCAATAGTTTTTTAGCTAAGGTTGAGGCTTTTTTCCCATTTCTCCAGTTCTATGCTGGGTTTTTGTCTGGTTTGAGTTGCATGGGTCCTGTGTATGCTGTCACCATTGTTGTAAATTTATGAGAAACT